GGACCATTGACAAAGTCAGTGTGACTTTGTCAATGGTCCAAGTCGGACCGAAACATCGTCGTAAGCTTCTCTCTTTTATGTGTGGGTTATTTGTGTATCGTTCCAGTCACGGTATTGTGCCTTTTAGTTATTTATAAGTGTGTCGTTCCATGAGAGACCCATGGGTAAGGCGAGTATGGCCGATGCGGAGACGGGAGAGCACAGTCTCCTGAGTACAGCAACGGTGGTAAGAAGATGGTTACAAACCTATAAGTGGTTGCCAACGGCTGCAAAGATGGGCAGAGATGGCTGGAAAATAATCTCTGAACGGAATACCTCTATACTATAGGAAACCGGAAGATCACGGACCACCCAACAGAAAACGACGTTTTTATGTTTGCTAGCCACACGAGGTAAGCATAGTTGAATACGAGGGACTAATGGATGAGGGGAATCAAATTGTTTAATGGCTTGTAAAGCACTGAGGGACTCTGAAATGGTTATAAACGTTGAAGGAGACATATCTAATTTTGAGAAGCGCTGTAAGGATGGCGTATAACTCGGTAGTAAAAATACCAGCCGAGTCTAACAAATGACCTCGGACAACATCGTCAGGGAACACTGCCGCGAACCCAACACCGTCAGAAGATTTAGAACCATCTGTATGAACAGCAACGGCATGAGCATGCGACTGCAAGTGATCAAGAAAAAGAGCGAGAAGCAGTCATAGGTAGGAGAGCTTTGGTGCACAGCAGTAGAGGAGAACAGACACGACCTCACAAGTGGGAAGGGAAAAGACAGACGCTAAATGAACATACAAAGAGGTAACTGGAGAGAAGATGGGAATGAGTGGAGATGAAGAGAAAACGGCCGGAGTAAGCATGGGCGTCGAACTAACACTCTTCGCACTAATCTCGTTCATACCTCTCCTCCTTCTACAGATGTTCCTGGTGTCTACTCTATTTCTTGCTCCTCCTGTCCTCTTCAATACTTCGGAGAAACTGGTCGATCTCTTTCTGACAGACTTAGGGAGCACAAAAATAGTGTTAGGCTTGCCGACACTAACAATGCTCTTTTCTGTCACGTCAGAGATCATAGTCATCCTATTGACTGGTCTTCTGCTAAAACTGTCTTCCCTACTTCCAACTCGAACAGTCGCCGTCTAGTTGAATCCTCTCTAATACACAACTTTCCTTGTATGAACCTTAGCCCTGGCTTCGTCTCTGTAGATGCCTTCCTCTCCCACTACATTGTAAAATTCTCCAAACTTCAGAACACCCGTGACTTAACCTGAATCCTCATTTTTTCTTTTTCTTTTTCTTCTTCCTCTTCCCCTTTCCTCTTTCCTTTTCTCCTCTGGGTTGTCTTTCTCTCTCCTGTCTCGTGTTTCTGTTCCTTCTTCATTTATTTCACCACTTCCCCTTTCACGCACCTCTGTGGACATCTAGCTCTCTTGCAGTGCTCCCCTTCCTTTGTATTTGACTGGCTCGTCATCCTTATTTCCCACTTCTACCACTACCACTATTACTACCTCTTCTTCTTCTACTACTGATGAAATTAAGACATGTGCGGCGTCTGGGTGTCTTTGTTGTGGACGTTTCCCCATCCAGTGGCTGGCTGGATGGCGAAACGTCTACGATGGGGATGCCCGGGTGTTGTGCATGTGTCTTAATTTCATCTTGTCGGTATTATATACAACTCTTGTACTACTACTACTACTACTACTACTACCACCACCTCTTCCTGCCTATATATAGCCGTCCTGCTCCACCTCTGGTTAGTGTGACTTTGTCAATGGTCCAAGTCGGACCGAAACGTCGTCGTCAGCTTCTCTCTTTTATGTGCGGGTTATTTGTGTATCGTTCCAGTCACGGTATTGTGCCTTTTTGTTATTTATTTATTAAATAATGGGCTTTTACTAACGTCTGAGACCAGCCTATACATAGACAGAACACGAAGGTCATAAGCACGGACAAAGTAACGAAGGTCATGAGCATCACGACGATCAGCTAAGGAAGGTACATTCGCCTCAACACAGACACTTTCAACAAGGAGTAAACAAAAGGCAACAAGGCATAAACGAAGACCTTGACGATGAAGGGGATCTAACTTAGAAAGAGTGGAAGGAGAAGCTGCAGAATAGACTTGGTTACCATAATCCAGCTTGGACAAGACTAGGGTGGAATACAAACGGAGGAGAGTCCGTCGATCTGCTCCCCATGAACGATGCGCAAGAATTTTCGAGAGATTCAGTCGACCATGGCAACCTGCCTTCAAAGAAGAAATGTGAGGTTTCCATGTCAACCGGTGATCGAAGAGAAGACCAAGAAACTTGACCATATCACATTCTGGAATATATAAGCTTTGTAAATACAATGGAACATCTGGGATAAGAGGACGTCTAGTGAAGGTAATGATTAGTGGCCCAATGGGAAACTCGGTCAATCGCATCCTGAAGGGAGGCTACTACCAGGCGACAGTCAGCACCTGTGTAAGTTATAGCGAAGTCATCCACATAAAGCGACGACCAAATATGCGATGGAAGAACGGAACGTAGGTCATTTATAGCCAAGAGAAAAAGGGTAGTGGTAAGGACACAACCTTGTGGGACACCCTCGGCCTGAACAAAGTCTGAGGAAAGCCAGGCGCCAACACGGACCCGAAAATGTCTGTCAGATAAGAAAGCAGCAAGGAAGGTCGGTAGATTACCACGGAGGCCTTAGGAGTGGGCTTGGGCTAAGATGTTATACCTCCAAGTGGTGTCATGTGCCTTCTCAAGATAAAAAAACAAACTGCTGGGATGGAGTGTATGTTAGCAAAGACATTTCTCACGTACGTATCTAAGTGGAGCAAGGAGTCCAATGTAGAGCGGCCCTTGTGAAAGCCATATTGGGGAGGAGAAAGACTGTTGTGAGTCTCCAAATACCATATCAGACGTCTATCACCAACTACACGTCTATCACCTACTACACTAGTCAGAGCAATGGGACGATAGTGAGAGGTAGCAAGCCCCGAGGTGCCTGGTTTGCGAAACGGTAGGACAATGGCAGATTTCCACTGATGAGGGAGAACCCGTCACCTCTAAATAAGATTGAAAAGACGCAAAAGGACTGTAAGGGCAGTAGAATGCAGATGTTGTAGCATACTGATATATCATCAAGCCCAGCTGCTGATGACTGGCAAGCAGAAAGCGTGGATTCTAACTCTAGGAGACTGAAAGGTACATTATACGGCTCCAATCCATTAGAAGAGGAATCCAAGGGCGATTGTTCCTTGGTAGACTTAGACGCAAGAAATGAGGGGCAAAGGTGAAGCCCTTGGGGGACACGAACAAGATATTTCCCGATTTCCGTGGCAACTTCAAGAGGTTTCGCATCACTAACACCAGCAACCCGCAGAACAAGAGCTGGATCTGGAGCGTACTTACCACACAACTTCCATACCTTCTTCCAAACCGCACACATAGGGGAAGTCGAAGTAATGGTAGACACGTAGTCTCGCCAGCAAGTGCATTTAGCGTCGCATATGATGAGGCGAGCGACTGCTCGTGCCCGCTTAAAAGCCAAGAGATGGTCTGAGGTTCGATTATACCAATAATGGCCCCACGCAGCGCGTTTCAAACGCTCTGCATGGGCACATGCAGGAGACCACCAAGGCACGCATGTCTGAGAATACCTGCCTGAGGTTTGAGGAATAGAACGTGATGCTGCAGTCAAAACTAAGGTCGAAAACTGGTGCATCGGTTCATTAATAAAGGACGAAGAGGGGTCCTTATAAAAAGCGGTAAGATGAGAGAATAAGTACCAAATGCACTTGTCCAAATTGCCAATGAGCGCTACGAGGCGGTCGGGAATACGTAGAATAGAAAAATGAACACTGTTATGCAAATCCGGGAGAACAGACTAAGCGTAATCAAGTGCAATTGACGAGGACCAGATAGAAAGATCGATACAAGAGAGACTGACTGCGATAGTCAAAATAGGTGGGAACACTCGTATTTAAAACATGAAGAGGATGAGAAGTGAGAAGGGTCTCTAAGTGATCACCACGAGAGTCACAGTGGGACCCTCCCCACAGATGATGGTGAGTGTTACAATCACCTAACAAGATGGGCGGCGGTAGAGAAGAGATCAAGATCCCAGATACAGAATGCACGGGAAGGGGAGAGAGATAGAGAGCAAACTGTATACCATCTGTGCAAATGAATATGGGTTGCAGTATAATACAGCAAAGAACGAACACAGACCTGTTGATACGGTATACCAACGCGCACAAGAAACGCACTCTCATTAAATGATTCACCAGGAAAGGGATCAGAAGAATGCAACAGCATTCAAGAACGATAGATCATCTCAGTCTTCCATTTCAACCTCCAAGTGTCACCAATCGATCCTTAGAAACTTCACCCATATCTAGATGACTCACGAAATCGTAATAAGCCTATAGTAAACGAACCACGGAACGGTCAGAGTCTGAACCTATGGCGAGTCCCAAAAATCACAGACCATTGTAGTATTGTTAGGTTTGATTCTGGTTCCAATACTCATTGTTACTGGATGAGTTTCTACCAATGCTTTATGTAGGCGTGGCAGTAGCTGTTACTAAGAAAGCAGATCATGGGCCAGCTGGCTCTAATAAGATTAATTCAGCTAGCTTAAATGAATCTTACTAGAGTCAACTGGCCGAGCAGTTAACACTGTTAACCTGTGAGTTTCAGGGCTCATTCTCCATGGGTTGAAACCCCACCTGTTCCCTGGTTTATTCTTCAGTTCACGAAGTGTTCTTAGTTCTCTAACAAGATGTCTCCAACACGAGTCTCCAACACGGGTCTCAGGTATCATTTGCCTTCACCCAAAGTTGTTGGGCCACTTGCCTTGTTTCCTCCTCTTCCCCTCCTTCCCATCCTTTTCCAGTATTTCTATCCTTCCTCATCACTCTTCCTTTCCATGTCACGACAGCTCTGGTCGTCTTCCTCGCTCGTTCGCCTCCACTCCACAATAACTATATTTCTCCTCCAACAGGATGCCTCCAGAACGAGTACCAGTGTCGGGACGAGTGCATCGACGCCCTCAGGAGGTGTGACACCGTCAGCGACTGCACAGGAGGAGAAGACGAAGAACACTGCGGTAAGTTGACGAAACACCACAAACTTTGCAGTCGAATTCTGATTTTAAATTTCCTTGTCACTGTCTGAGAGATCCTGACTACTGCCATCTATATACTCCAGGAAGTGACTGATGCTGTCAGCATAATGTCAATACTACTGTTATCAGTATATTTGAGGTAACATTGATAACACTATAGCCAGTGTTATGCACCAATAATTATACAGTTACGTTGATAACAGGTATATATTTTATAATCTTGAAGTTATCTTTGTGGGAAAAAATTTAGTGATTTGTTTTAGACTCCCTTTTAAATCATTGGTAAACAAACCATACGACGGGTAGCTGGTCCAGTGGCTAACGCGTCGGTCTGGAGTTTAATGACTCTCTGATCGTGGGTTCTAACCCCACCCGTGGTATGGATTGTTTGCAATCGTGTCATTACGATTTCGTGAGTCAGTAGTAAACAAAATCGCCAAGAAGATGAATTAAACACAAGTGATAACGTCTGGGTATCTTTATTCTTAAGACGTTTCGCAAACCAGTGGCTTTATAACACGTCAAGTAAAGTTTACCAGGAATCATGACAAGAGTTTCCTGACGCGGGTCGTAGTCGTAGTTGAAGCTTTTGGTAACCTGACAGAGGCCTTCAGCTGGCTTTCCCCTTCACCACTTTAAAAATTATGCCTATGATTGCAACTATTAGATTCCTATTTCGAAGAAACACAGGTAGCAAGACGTTATATACTGGAATCAGACGAGTTGAGGACCTTGTCATTGGAAGGCTGGATTCCCCTAGCTGATGTATCGTTCCAGACCCTGGAGCTGAACTCTTCTCCAGGCTGAGGGACTGATTATCTTACCAGACCCTGGAGCTGAACTCTTCTCCAGGCTGAGGGACTGATTATCGTTCCAGACCCTGGAGCTGAACTCTTCTCCAGGCTGAGGGACTGATTATCGTTCCAGACCCTGGAGCTGAACTCTTCTCCAGGCTGAGGGACTGATTATCGTTCCAGACCCTGGAGCTGAACTCTTCTCCAGGCTGAGGGACTGATTACCTCATCTCCTACACCTTCAGCCTTCTGTAATGTACTGATAAAGTTACTGGTTGGCGAAAAGTCTACAGATGTTGCTTATGTGTTTAATTCATCACTGGATTCCCTTATGGCGCTTTCGTTAATCTATTTCCTTCTTAAAATTCTCGCGAATATTTTCACAAACATGAATATGGATGTGCAGTGATGGTGGAGTTTTCAGTGTTGTGTGTATTGCGGCATGGATAGCCTGAGTGATCAAAGAAACAGTCCTTGGATAACTGTGGACTCTCTGATCCTCTGATCCTGTTGAAGAATGATATATGTACATCTGGATATCTTTATTGTAGACGTTTCGCCCTCCAGTGGCTTTATCAATACAGGTTCTAGGACATAATTTGAAGACAGAACTATATACCAATGATGAGGTAATCTAACCCCACGGGTGGGGATAGAACCCGCGGTCAGAGAGTCGTAAAACTCCATACCGACGCGTTAGCCACTGGACCAGCTGGCTACAATAAGATTCATCCAACTAGGTATATTTCTACACCATAGGAAGGTTAGCATAGGCCACCACTGTGACCACAAATGCAAGTTTTTACAGACGAATCTCCAGCTAGCATGTCAGTGACGAACTCTAGCTCATGTCCCCTCAAAGCCGTCAACATGACTCACGAAATAGTAATGACACGCGACATTACGATTTCGTGAGTTATCCCTGAGAACGAGATCGTTACCATCACAACATTGAACTGGAACCTGCCATTAACTTCTCAGTATATAATTAATGTTCAGAACGAGGTCATTACCATCACAACATTGAACTGGAACCTGCCATTAACTTCTCAGTATATAATTAATGTTCAGAACGAGGTCATTACCATCACAACATTGAACTGGAACCTGCCATTAACTTCTCAGTATATAATTAATGTTCAGAACGAGGTCATTACCATCACAACATTGAACTGGAACCTGCATTAACTTCTCAGTATATAATTAATGTTCAGACGAGGTCATTACCATCACAACATTGAACTGGAACCTGCCATTAACTTCTCAGTATATAATTAATGTTCAAAACGAGATCATTACCATCACAACATTGAACTGGAACCTGCCATTAACTTCTCAGTATATAATTAATGTTCAGAACGAGGTCATTACCATCACAACATTGAACTGGAACCTGCCATTAACTTCTCAGTATATAATTTATGTTCAGAACGAGGTCATTACCATCACAACATTGAACTGGAACCTGCCATTAACTTCTCAGTATATAATTAATGTTCAGAACGAGGTCATTATCATCACAACATTGAACTGGAACCTGCCATTAACTTCTCAGTATATAATTAATATTCAGAACGAAATCATTACCATCACAACATTGAACTGGAACCTGCCATTAACTTCTCAGTATATAATTAATATTCAGAACGAGATCATTCAACTTCCCCTAAAAATATCAAAGGGTCACCAGTCTTCGATGACATTTTATTCATACGTATAATAAAAAAAAATTACCATAGGTGTACCATTCCCTGGGAGTTGCTTATGGTAACTGTGATTATTATAATATACGATGCGACACTACAGAAATGTGAGTGAAATTGGGTTAGGTTAGGTAAGGTTCGTCAGGAAACAGGACAAGTGTTTCCTGACGCGGGTCTTATATGATAACCCGCCACTGGAGCTTTTAGTCATCTGCCCGAGGCCTTCCACTGGCTTACCACTCCTCCCCTTTAAAAATTAATGGCTCTTATAACCATTTATTTGTATTTAAATTGGATTATTCAAGCTGCACCCACCACGGACGTAGTTATTCACTAATTAATGAAAAATCGTTATTGAAAATGCATAACTTGATAAATGATAGAATTCTGGACACAAGGAAGGTTAGATCTCAATGGAACTTCACGAATTTCTTACATAAATTATCTGAATGTGGTCGACTGGAAGCTTAGTACAGAGAACCACCTTCAAGCATCGCTATTATCTCCTCTCAAGGGAATACTTCGCTGGAAGTACTCTGGATAAACACAACTATTTAAGATAACTATTGCTGGAAGTACTCTGGATAAACACAACTATCTAAGATCACTATTTCTGGAAGCACTCTGGATAAACACAACTATCCACACTTTAAGATCACTATCGCTGGAAGTACTCTGGATAAACACATCCATACTTTAAGATCACTATTGCTGGAAGTACTCTGGATAAACACAACTATGTAAGATCACTATTGCTGGAAGTACTCTGGATAAACACAACTATTTAAGATCACTATTGCTGGAAGTACTCTGGATAAACACAACTATCTAAGATCACTATTTCTGGAAGCACTCTGGATAAACACAACTATCCACACTTTAAGATCACTATCGCTGGAAGTACTCTGGATAAACACAACTATTTAAGATCACTATTGCTGGAAGTACTCTGGATAAACACAACTATCCACACTTTAAGATCACTATCGCTGGAAGTACTCTGGATAAACACATCCATACTTTAAGATCACTATTGCTGGAAGTACTCTGGATAAACACAACTATCCATCCTTGCTGGAAACGAGTACAGAACATGTAATGAACACGCATCACTATGAGTGAAGAATCCTAGTGTGCAGGCGAATAGATACATATGTGTTACACATATTTACGCTATTGTTTACTGAACATCAAAATGGTATAAAATACCGACAGGTTGGTAGGTAAGACACAAAGGCAACAGTTAGGCAACTTTATTCCGAAACGTTTCGCCTACACAGTAGGCTTCTTCAGTCGAATACAGAAAGTAGGCAGGAACAGTAGAGATGTGAAGACGATGTAATCAGTCCATCACCCTTGAAGGCTGAGGGACTGACAACCTCAAATTCTACGACTTCAAGGGTGATGGACTGATTACATCGTCTTCACATCTCTACTGTTCCTGCCTACTTTCTGTATTCGACTGAAGAAGCCTACTGTGTAGGCGAAACGTTTCGGAATAAAGTTGCCTAACTGTTGCCTTTGTGCCGCTATTGTTTACTATTAATGTGCAGATGGATGACCAAAAGCTCCAGCTGTGGGTCAGGAAACACTTGTCCTCTTTCTCGACAAACCTTACTTAACCTAACTGCTCTTAAGTTACTACAAGAGGAGTCTAGTATTAGTGTCATTTACTTTACAGAGACGTGGGTGTGTCCAGAGTCCCACTACAAATGCACCAATGGTCTCTGTGTTCCGTCTGACGCTGTGTGTAACTTTGTAGACGACTGTGGCGACGCCTCTGATGAACAACAATGTCGTGAGTAGTATTCTCTCTCTCTCTCATTCATTCTATCTCTTCTGTTTCCTCTTCTATCATCGTCCTCAACTTTGCTATCCTTGCTTCAAACATTTAGATTTTGGTAAGTTGTCTTTGTGTCTAACTTACTAATATTGCAAACCATTTTGATATTTACATCTAGTTATTACACGATAGATCTTGGCCTGGTGGTTAACGCTCTCGCTTCACACGGCGAGGGTCTGGGTTCGATTCCCAGCCAGAGTAGAAACATTGGACGTGTTTCTTTCCACCTGTTGTCTATGTTCCCCATCAGTAAAATGGGTACCTGGGTGTTAGTTGACTGGTGTGGGTGGCATCCTGGGTGTTAGTGGACTGGTGTGGGTGGCATCCTGGGACACTGACCTAAGGAGGCCTGGTCACAGACCGGGCCGCGGGGGCGTTGACCCCCGGAACTCTCTCCAGATAATCTCCAGATAGATACCTGGAGAGTTTACCTAGAGAGCCGCCCCCGCTGCTCGGTCTGAGACCAGGCCTCATGGTGCATCAGGGTCTGATCAACCAGGCTGTTACTCTGATCAACCAGTAAATGTCTTCCTGGAATAACTAAAGTGTAATAAACACTTGTTAGTGCTCAAAATTGACTCACATGGACACAGACGTTCAGAAGATTAATCATTTAGTATATTTCGACCCCTTCCTGGAACCCTCTTCAGTTGTCGAAGAGGATCCTGGAAGGGGGTTAAAATATACATATCAATCTCCTGGGTTTGTCTCTCTAAGTGGGCTATTATCGTCTACTTCTTTCTTTACGGTGCACTGTGGCCTGGTAGCAGAAATTCTCACTTCACACGGTGAGGGTCCGGGTTCGATTCCGGTGAAGGAGTGGAAACATCGGATGGGTTTCTTACACCGGTTGTCTATGTTCACCCATCAGTAAAATTAGTACCTGGGTGTTAGTGGACTGGTGTGGGTGGCATCCTGGGTGTTAGTGGACTGGTGTGGGTGGCATCCTGGGTGTTAGTGGACTGGTGTGGGTGGCATCCTGGGTGTTAGTGGACTGGTGTGGGTGGCATCCTGGGTGTTAGTGGACTGGTGTGGGTGGCATCCTGGGTGTTAGTGGACTGGTGTGGGTGGCATCCTGGGTGTTAGTGGACTGGTGTGGGTGGCATCCTGGGACAAAACTGACATAATTTGCAGGAAATGCTCAGCATAACAAGCAACTTTCTATATAGTAGTATGTCACTGATGTCAACTATGATCTGTATACCTTGTACATGTACTGGTATACCTTGTACATGTACTTGTATACCTTGTACATGTGCTTGTATACCTTGTACATGTACTTGTATACCTTGTACATGTACTGGTATACCTTGTACATGTACTGGTATACCTTGTACATGTACTGGTATACCTTGTACATGTACTTGTATACCTTGTACATGTACTGGTATACCTTGTACATGTACTGGTATACCTTGTACATGTACTGGTATACCTTGTACATGTACTGGTATACCTTGTACATGTACTTGTATACCTTGTACATGTACTGGTATACCTTGTACATGTACTGGTATACCTTGTACATGTACTGGTATACCTTGTACATGTACTGGTATACCTTGTACATGTACTGGTATACCTTGTACATGTACTGGTATACCTTGTACATGTACTGGTATACCTTGTACATGTGTAGATGAATGGTTCAGAGAACCGACATATTGATAAATTAGACACATGTGCAACTCTTGGGTATCTTTATTGAGGAAACGTTTCGCCACACAGTGGCTTCATCAGTCCATACAAAGGAGAAACTTGAAGAACAGGAGGAGAATGAGGTAATCAGTCCCTCAACCTTGAGTCGATGTGTTCAGTCCATCAATCTTGAATAGAATACGGCATATTGTATTGTACATGTACTTGTATACCTTGTACGTGTACTTGTATAACTTGTACGTGTACTTGTATACCTTGTACGTGTACTTGTATACCTTGTACGTGTACTTGTATACCTTGTACGTGTACTTGTATACCTTGTAAGTATACTTGTATACCTTGTACGTGTACTTGTATACCTTGTACGTATACTTGTATACCTTGTACGTACGAGGCCTCCTCCCTGGCCTCCTCCCTGGCCTCCTCCCTGGCCTCCTCTCCGGCCTCCTCCCTGGCCTCCTCTCCGGCCTCCTCCCTGGCCTCCTCCCCGGCCTCCTCCCTGGCCTCCTCCCAGGCCTCCTCCCTGGCCTCCTCCCTGGCCTCCTCCCCGGCCTCCTCCCTGGCCTCCTCCCTGGCCTCCTCCCCGGCCTCCTCCCCGGCCTCCTCCCTGGCCTCCTCCCTGGCCTCCTCCCTGGCCTCCTCCCTGGCCTCCTCCCCGGCCTCCTCCCTGGCCTCCTCCCGGGCCTCCTCCCTGGCCTCCTCCCCGGCCTCCTCCCCGGCCTCCTCCCTGGCCTCCTCCCTGGCCTCCTCCCTGGCGTATTTTAAAAGAGTTTCATTTTATGTCTCTATTTTAAATTCTATTTTAAATTCTATTTTAAATTCTATTTTAAATTCTATTCTTGGTTTAAGTTCCTCAAAGAATTTACGTATTTTTTCCTCTAAGATTCCCGCTATTAAGCCAAGAATGCTTATTCAGATAGGCTTCAAACTTCCAACGCTGATGGGCTGTGATTGACGACAATTTCCGAGAAATATTGGAACACACTGTTGCTATTGTTGGTAAATTAAGACATATGGGCAACATTTGGGTCCCTTTGGAAACGCTTGGCCAGCCAGTGGCTTCCTCAGTCCAATACAGAGAAGGGTGGAAGATAAGGAGTTTGAGGTAATCAGTCCCTCAACCTGGAGATGGTGTCATCAGTCTATCAATTTATTAACGAGATTGTTAGCCACAATTGATAAAGGTTATTTATTGATTAATTATTATTATTATCGATGAGAATTAGTTACAATTAGTTACAATTAGTTACAATTAGTTACAAGTGTCAATCTTTCATACATGGACGCATTTAGTGCAAGGAGTGTGAAGAAAAAATATAGCACGGGCGGGGCTTGAACCCGCGCTTAGAAAGTCGTGGAACTCTAAACCGACGCCTTGTCCACCTTTCATACATGGTCGTAGAGTGAAAGGAGTATGACAGCAACAGGAAGAGGCCCTTTCATACTGTCTCCATCTCAAGAATTCACAGCATCACCGATCATTCTGCCGGAAATGTAATCTCTGTCTCAGATGCGCCTCCATCTTCACTCTTCTTACGAAGTGATCTTAGATTTATTGGAGTCAGTATCTAATAAGAAATGAAGTGTGATAACGTTTCTTAGTTTGTTAAACCCTAAATATCTTAACGTAAACCCTGAACGAACCCAAGTATTACAGAAACAATGAACGTGGATCCAAAGCCTGGTTTTGATAAAGACCTGCCTTGTATGGGCCAGTAGGCCTTCTGCAGTGTTCCTCCATTCTTATGATCTTATGTTCTTACTCCATTCAGTAGCCATTTTTACGTAATTTATTTAAAAAACCCAGAATGAGCATCCCACAGCAAATTTATCTCAACTCTCCCAGCATCATTCTCAATCAATATTAATTACAAAAATTATTCTGTTTTCCATATATTAATTGGCGACTAGCCAAGGAATCGAACCCATGCTGATTTCGCCAGCCTCATGGTGAGGGAAAGACATATTCGCTCTGGTCCACGGGACCACACAATTCTCAAGAATGACGCACCCAGCCAAGCTAGATGTTGTACCCGTCATCCCAGAACACACGGTGGTGTGGACGCCTGAGCTAATTTAAATATTCATGTTGTACCAGGGAGGGAACACTTATGGAAAATCTATGACAAAGTTCTTATCCAGTGGATCTGCATATTAACAGAAACAATCTCTCTCTCTCATATATATATATATATATATATATATATATATATATATATATATATATATATATATATATATATATATATATATATATATATGTCGTACCGAATATGTAAAACTGGTGAATTAGCAAGAATTCGTTTAAAATTAAGTCCTTTGTGAAATTTTCTCTTATACGTTTAAAGATATATTTTTTTTTCATTAATGTTAATGTAAAAATTTTTAATTTTGCTCCAAAAGAATCTTAGAAAACTTACCTAACCTTATTATAACAAGAAAAATTTATTTTAGCCTAACTCAACTAAATATATTTTAGATTTGTTTACAATAATTTAATACTAAACAAACACAGTGAAATATATTTTTTTCGTTAGGTTCAGAATGATTTTGGCGAAATTATTGCATACACAAATTTTCACTTGTCCTATATGGTAAGATGAACGTTGCTATTTAAGCCAAGATCGCAAGTTCTGCCTATTCGGCACGACATATATATATATATATATATTGTGTGCGAGGGGCTTGGACTTCCAGCAGGCATGCGTGAGCGTGTTTGATAGGAGTGAATGGAGACAAATGGTTTTTAATACTTGACGTGCTGTTGGAGTGTGAGCAAAGTAACATTTATGAAGGGATTCAGGGAAACCGGCAGGCCGGACTTGAGTCCTGGAGATGGGAAGTACAGTGCCTGCACTCTGAAGGAGGGGTGTTAATGTTGCAGTTTAAAAACTGTAGTGTAAAGCACCCTTCTGGCAAGACAGTGATGGAGTGAATGATGGTGAAAGTTTTTCTTTTTCGGGCCACCCTGCCTTGGTGGGAATCGGCCGGTGTGATAATAAAAAAATAAATATATATATATATATATATATATATATATATATATATATATATATATATATATATATATATATATATATATATATATATATATATATATATTGTGTGTGGGGAGCTTGGACGTACAAGAGTGTAGGCAGGTGGCTCTTATGATTTGGTGTGCTGTTGGAGTGTCAACGGGGTGACATTTATGAAGGGATCCAGGTTTCCCTGGGTCCCTGCATGAAGAGTTGGCTTGCTCACACCTCCAGCTGCACACCGATTCGTGGAGGTCACTCGTCTCCACTCCAGCCTAA